CGCAGGTATAATGTGAAAATATGAAGGAATGAGACTTTATACCGTTTTTGCGCAAGATCGCTCTGGATCATCTGGATATTAACGCCTGTGAGACAGCATCAGCTCTGCATCGCCGTACCGGTGCTCGGATTCCGAGATGTGTCCGAGGATCGATAGAACTTTGAGTGCTTTTAACATGAAATTTTCGCATTCTCTTAGCTTTGTTTGAACGTTGAAATATCTGAGAATCTACGCGAAATGTAGACGTCGCGTTAGGGCCTAAGGGAAGTTGTTTCAGCCCTCCGTCACCGAACAACCATAGCAACTTTTATCGAGGAAGCTCCTGCGATTTTAACCTTTTGTGCTAATCCACGATTCTACATTCGATCGCTTTTCTTCCTTTTTTTTTTGTGTGTGTGTGTGTGACTGCGAAGTGCACCCTTATTTTCAGCTACGAGGTTGGCGTTTTATTGAGTATGGGGAAGAATAAATCGTTGCAGGCACCTGCTTCAAAGCTATTCGACTTGCTATAAGAACAACTGTTTTGGTGCATGCATAGATTAACTGCCCATTTTTTCTGTTTTGTAGGATTTATTGCTGCTATACTCTTTTCCATCAAGAGTGCATTGTATTAGTCGGTCAATTATTTAATTGTTCTAATTACCCGGATAAGATGATTCATATTTGTGTTCATCCCTTGCCTGGAGAGCAGTCTTGTTGAAAAATGTTGACTACCATTCCTTTCGGTCTCTTCAATAGACTCTTTGTAAAAGTGTGGGCTGTCTATACTTCGCATCACCGTAACTTGGAAAAGGCCAACCGCCACAGCCCCCTCGAGCCAATCAGAGACGGAGCGAAGGTGTGTGACAAATCTGCAGATGAGCACTGTGGTGATATGCTGTCATGTGCCTCTCTCCAATGTGTGTATTGATTCACCGAGACCGTAGCCTTTGCCGTCTGCCAAATTCTGATGAAACAAATTACTGTAGCTACTACTGTAATTACCCCAGGCTTTCATACTTTGGGTATTTGTTCGACAAGAATGTTATGTCCGCCATCCCTGTGAATTCCGCTCAGCACCTATTGGACTCGAATGCTACATTGGCGTTCGACGTGAACTGGGGCCCATTCGTGTGCTTTGCGCCGAAAAGAATGGTGACGGTTGTGTTGCTTGATAAAGTTCTGCAAAGGGTCTATTGTGTCATACATATAGGAAGTGTCATGCTATATAACAATGCATCAACACACTATTAAACTATATGCTCAGAGGTGTGTTTGTTTTTCCAATTAACAAGTTACAGCAGTGTGCTTTAATGCTATTATCATGTGTGTTGTTTTAAGTATCCTCTCTGCAATGCCTACGAAGGCCCCTGGAAGGAATAAATTAATAAATAACATTTTCACATCACTGGAGTTGGTTTTCGAATGCACCACATGTTCAGGAAAGGTTGTACGAGTGCAGCCCCTTGCAAGAAGTCTGCCAGTCTGGTATGACCCCTTAATTAATATTGAAGGGTCAGAGAAGCGAGTGTCCTCGTAAGGTCCAGAGCGTGCAATGGACACAATTCTCGGTGTGTAGACTCTCAAGGCATGAAGGCAAGCGGAAATATGTTTATCTGGTTAGTGTATCAAATATGTTTATTTCCACTTGATTACATAATTATTGATTCTTAGTAAATGGTTCCATAACGAGTTCTTTCTGCGACAGTCTCGTGTCAGGCGTTCAGTCGTAGTACCTGTGGACCTTGTTGTCGGATGACGCTCCTGGCACGTCGGTATTCAGTTTGGTCGAGTAGCAACTTTGACCGACTGATGCTGTCTTGTAATCATACGTCATGTGCACTGAAGCTGCAGGGCTGGCTTCTAATCCGAAAATTTTCCTGGTAGTTTTAGGCATCAACTTAGCAAGCTCGGGCATGTATTGCTTACGTGGCTGTGCCTTTTGCTGTACCGTTGACTTGAAAGCTGGCAACAATTTTTGTTTGCTATCCAAGTCTGGTGATGCTTGCAGTTCACTTTTGAGAGCAACCAACCATTCTATTCCTTCAAGTCACTCAGGGGCATTCTCCCTCAAAGTTGGAAATTGTGTGCTTCGTGGAGTGGACACAGAAAATTGGTGTCAGCAAATTTTTAGGTATTGTCCTTGGACGACAACCGACACCAAATCCACTGTCACTGCATCGATGCTCACCTGCTTTGTCGTGCTTACCTCTTGTTGAGGTGATGGACATCAGGAGCTTTGGGGTAATCAGGGATTCAGAATCTTCGATTCAGCACCTTCAGCATCAGGGACAAAGGTCGCCGAAGGTAATCCTTAATCTCCTGTGGTCGCTCCTCGAGACGTAATCGAGGGTCGTTTGGCACGAACCCTCGCCGACCGATTCATGGGTACGGGCTGCTTTGGTAGACATGGTCGGCTTCATGCAGTGGTAGCAAAGTGGTTTTCGGTCGCACATTCGCATCACCTACGTTTTCCTCGGTGTACTTTGTTGAGCACAGTCCTACACACGATGTCGGGAATGCTTCGGCGTTAGAGTGTCTCATTGAATTGGCACTGAATACTAAGGGGCAGCCGGTGGCGGTCGTCGTGCCATTGTGGCGTAAGTTGCCCTTGGTTTGTCAGATGCCGCTTCGCTCGCAGAAGTCTCGGTTGAAATACCTATTAAACTTGTTCCGAAACAATCTCGGCAATCAATATAAAAGCCGGGCAACTGATGGCAGGAAGTAGCTCCCTGATCTCCTCCCAGACAACGTCGTGGGTGATGTCGTGGATGCCTGGGAGGCTGGCGTCGAAGTAGTAGCTGGACAACTCTAGTGTCGAGACGCCGGGAAGTTGTTCATAGTGGCAGGCTCGGGCATGCAGTGCACATTCCATGTTGGAAGCCTCAGTGATATGAACACTTCGACTGTTGTTGGGGGGTTGCGGACAAGGCTGCCGAAGGTGTTGTCCCTCACGTGAGGCGCATGGGACTCTTAGGTTCTTGTCTTCTGTAGCATCAAGGTCGGCGTGGGCGTGGGCGCTCGATCAAGCGCAAAACATCCTCCATGAGTGCGGTGGCGCTCTCATTGGGGCAGTGTCCTGGACAGAATCAAGAATGCGGCTCTCTTTCGTTGATGTTGGCTGACGGATGCGCGCTTCAGCTTGATCTTGCAAACTTCCCATGACGTTAAGGAGGATCCATGGTTCTCAGACCAGCGCCGGCGGTTGCTTCCACGAGAAGTATAGGTTCTGCAGGAGCTGGTCTGTCCACCCAATGTGGCGGGCGACACTGTCATATTGTTCAATCCAGTCCTTGACGTCTTCATACAGCTTGCGTGAAAAAGCGTCGGAGTGTGATTTGCGACGGGCATGCAGACAATGGTGGGAGGGGACACGGTTTGCTGCTACAGGTTTGTCATTGTTGGCTCAGTCAGCTTCGGATTTTCTGACAGGAGACCGAATTCCGGTGGTTTTTCCTGGTAGCAGCAACTGGCTCGGATTTCAGGTGCTTTGTGGTGTATTTCCGAGGTTACTCCTTGTGGTACTCGGTCGTCTTGCGGTTGTTCTGCCAGGCTCGGGTCAGGACTTTGCCTACGGCTCGACAGGGGTATAAGACGCAGAATAGTCCGCCAGCCGTGTCCCATTATCGAGTAACTCGGCTGAAGAGCCGCCGGGTTCACACAGAGTGAAGGGCTACGGGTAAAGTGCCCAGCACCTCCACCTGAACATACGATTACAGCTGAGCATGACCTGCAGTGTCCCAGAATAGTGAATATTGATAGAAGATAGGACTGGAACAAGGATCCGTGACAGTATAACAAAACTAGCAGAAGAGAATCTATCCTGACCACTGAAGAAGCTGCATTGCTTTAGTGGCATTCTGTCCGAATAAATCCTCTCCTTCGGGGTTTGGCGACTGCCGTGGACGAACTGAATTGAAATGGATGTGGGACCACTTTTCTGGTAATGAGCCACTGCAGACTTGCCACAAAGCGGCGTGATCTGGGTACGTAACACGCTCGGTGAAATGTCCGGACAGCTTGCAATTCGCGTAACCAGTGTGGATGAAATGTTTGTGTTGACGAAACGTGCGACAGACCAGCGGGATCAATACCAACTGCAACACCTGTGCTCCGTGAAAGTGCACGTCTACGCCGGAACAATTTCGGAAGCAGCACAGCATCACCTAAAGCATGGCACAGGAACTACCAGCTTGAAGGCAGCTCTTCGGTGCGCCGCACACCTGTGCTCCGTGAAAGTGCACTTCTACGCCGGAACAATTTGTAAGCAGCACAGCATCATTCAGCACGGCACGGGAACTACCAGCTTCAAGGCAGCCTTCCGGTGCGCCGCACAACCGAAGTGAGCCCTCGGTCATTTGATCGAAACTGCACCGCGATTGCACACCGCCAAGCACGACTCACGCAATTTCCGTCGCTAAACTGTGTATCCAAATATATTGCACACGCTTCACTGCAAACCTCGATGATTCCGATGGTCAACGAGAGCACAGAAACGTCGCCTTAAATTTTATCCTAGCGGTATCCGAATCAATCCGAGGTCCGAGCAACGTAGGTCAGATTGTCTCTTCCGTGGCAATATCCCGGTCGGTCACCAGCGAAATGCACACCGTTTCTCCGTATTTTCACGTTATACCTACGTCAAACACCACGCTGAACTCTGAACTCGCTTTCGACCGGCCTCATATGACGGCTTCCGCGTCTGAAATCAACTCGCCGATACGAACGACAACCAACAAAGCATCCGACAAGCTCCGGCCAGCCGCTGCATGGGCGCTGCCATCTTTTCGGTGACGTCACGTATTTGGTTTGGTCATGTGACGTGTGGTCAAATTTGCGTACAATGGCAGCCTCCTTATGGGGGTCACTTTCGAGTGCAGACCGGAACCCCGGTTTATCGCTCTAAGCCCCTCTACCTCGTTGGCTCAGAGGTAAGTTTCAGATGATTCCGCGGTGCGTGAGTTGGCTACACTGTCAACTCACTATCATCATCATCGTAACCTCTGTTCCGCATCCGCATGTCCCGACTCCCGCATGGTTTGTGGAGTGCGATGTCTGCTTCAACCGTTTGTACAGGCGTCGCTCCCTTCACGTGCTTATTTTGACGTTCACAAGTGTAAGTATTTTGTCTGACCGCGTTCAGAATGTCGTTCTTCATCAGGAACTCGAAAGGGAACGCTTCAGTTACACAACAACGCTCCAAAGACAGGAAAGTAAGTAGCCACGACTGTCATCCTGGGGAAACAGTTCTCCGGCTTTCAGCCTGTGCTAACTATAAGCATTTTGGGAGGATTTCTGCTCGCCCTCAAGTTCCGGCATGTAAACCGGGTACTTCGTTATTTCAGAAGCGGAAAGGAACGCAGCCATCTAACAGAAACGATGCCAAGAAAGCGGCCGGTGATCGAGGCGCCAAGGCCAATTCAAAAGCTTCCGAAGAAATCCTGTCCAGCGAGTCGGATATTGAGTGAGTTCCGACGGCAATGCTACCCGTTTTACCCATTTCTTTAATATTCTCGACCATCTGTGTCTAGAGATAAGCTTACAGTCTGCAGAGAAATGGAAGCGGCCTCTCTTTTGACTGAATGGAGAGTAGCCCCTTTGAAGGGGCAGGGGGTATCGGTGGCCGAGTGTTGTAACGCACCGCAGCGTGGGGCGAAAGCTCGCGCTACAGAACACAGGGATTCTGGGCTCAATTCCCACCCCTGCCCGTTTCGACCTAGATGAGCATCGTACGACCTGCAGGTGTGTATCACTATACTGCGTGATGCATTTGTAAGACCCCATGCTAGCAGCGGTCGTACTGCACTGGGTAAATTGCTCATCTACAGCTGAGACACCAGACGCCCATTGGGACTGACTTAAGTTCACGCTGTCTAAAAGTACACGCAACATAATTTTTTTTCCAGAAGAAGCACCCATCCTCAAGCATCTGGGTTTGGCAATGAATTTCGTTGATTGTATATTTACAGAGACCGTGTTGTTCCCGGAACCCACTTTTCCGACGACGATGAGGAGCTGGAGACTGAGCAAGAAAAAAAGCTAAGGCTCGCGAAGAAGTACCTTGCTGAAATAGAGAAACAAGGTATACCCCGTTCATCTACTGTGGCAACCTGCCATCTGCATGAAGGTAGAAAGCATTGCAATGGTTTTGTTTGTTTGTTCGTTTCAGAGAAGGAGAGGCTCGAAGTCGAAGAACTCGACCGGTCGGTTCTCTCTCATCGCTTACGTAACGAGCTGGTAAGAGGATTACTATGACATATTTCTTTAATAAACCCATTACTGAGGCATCACATTTTCTTTTTTTTTATTTCTAGCTCGAGCAGAGTGGGCAACTGCAGAAGAAAGTTGCTGACAAGGTGACTAAACATATGCATTTTCATGAAATATTTATACCTTTCATATTACACCTTTTTCAAAAAGGTACTCCCTCCAGTAGCTGCTGCATCAGTTATTCAAGGCCGTCATATTTTGGGTGTGCATTTTGAGCATGCAGTCGACACGAGTACTGCGTCAGCGCTCGGCATGAACTCGGATTCAATTGCACGCTTCATGCAGGAAGCAATGCCCAAGGGTTGTATGCATGAATGAATGCTAATAGCTGTACCCTTCATAACGGGCGGTAGCTTGCGCCACCTAGCCTAGAAACCAAAAGTATTTTTTCTCCCCTTGCACTTCTAATCCACTCTGCTTCTGCTCTGCTTTTCTGTAACTATCACCAGGTAGTGTGGGTTATTGATAGGATTACCTTGAGGGGATTGGGCAAGGACCTAAAAGCATTACCTCTGCCTTCCTCCCCGGTGAGGGAGTCGCCAATTTTCTTCTAGTCAAACCTAGCCGGCACTACCCGAACACCGTGCCCACTGGGCGACAGGATTGAAACTTTGAGCCAGAGCTACACCGGAGGAAATGCCAATTTCACTTTCTTCTGTCCCGCTTGTCCCCAGCTGTGCCAGTTAGTTTTACTTCATTCAGTTTTCCCTGCATAGTTCCCACCAATCTTCTACCTACTCTTTGTTACTGTAAACCTTTTCTCCTTCATTCTCCCATCCTCGCCAGCAAAACCCAGTGCCCCCGCCACATCCGTTACCCTTTCAGGGAGGGCAGCGCGAGCCCCGTCCACTTCAAAACCAAATATCCTAGTGTCTCACTCTCATTATGGCACATACATAATATGTCTATCTTCTGAACTTTAGCCCTATACAGTAGAGAACTTCCACATGAATTATAAAACTCCTTTTCCTTTCTCATGACCTGTTTCTGTGACCTATACACTTTTAAAGCCGATTTTTCTTGCATTCTTTCCTCCCACATTTTCCTTTCTGCCTCTTTTACTCCCTTTTTCACTAAACTAGTCTGCTCAGCCCCATCACTGGCGTGCAGCTTTTTGTCAGCTTGCAGGTTCGGTTTGGGTTCAATTTGTCCATTTTATGTGCATACTTTTGATGCTCATACTTTCGATGTACCTTTCCAAAAAATGCTCCTAGGCCGCCGCCATGTTGTTCATGATAACGCAGCTTGTGCAACTATCACGCCCTCGTCAGCTAGAAATCTTCTGCCTCTTTCTTGGACTGTGGAAACCTGCTCAGCACGAGGTTTTGCTATCAAAGTTTTCCGACCTCTTGAAAGTTTCCACTTTATTTTTCTTATGCATGCTGCACATCCTTTTTATGTTACCTTCCCCTGTGAGAAGTGGGGCTGGTAAGTGCCTGCCATTCAAGCGTTTCTGCTTGACATTTACGGGAAACGAAGGAGGAGATGGATGTCGAACGGCCCTCGGCGTGATTTTGTGAATAATGACAATTTTTCTCCCCCCTTCAAGAGATAATCTGTGTAGAGTCCTTCTCAGCCACTGCCAAAAATAGTTGTTCGGGTCTTAATTGGGCCAGTCGTGTCTGCTCCTTTGCATTGGTGCTGGTGTGAAAAAACGGAGCTCGCCCCAAAATGCAGGGGTGGAACGGCTGCGCCATTTTGCGCCAGATGCATCTGTCTGCGCCATCCTGCGCCATGTTGCAGAAACTGTGCGACAGCCATTACCTCGCACCATTATGCAGCAAATCGCAAAACGTGTGCCAAAACAAATAGGATTTTGTCTTGGTTTCGGTTTTTATCGACTCGATTGGCAACAATGAGCGCGTTTAGCTTGGTTGTCCTTGCAATCCTTTGTTCTTTTTATTCTCCCTGTGTATCCTGAGTCGGAAGCGGATGAAAAACCTCGGGGGTCGGATTCCAAGTGGTACACCGCCTGCGAATAGATTGTTATTCTTTAACCATAAGCGGTTAAGCAAGTCGGCCAAGTTGAGGTCGAATCGTTAATCGTCGGATTGCCTGAGGCTCTGCGGCCCAGGATCCGGACGTCAGCCAGTTGAAGACAATTGAGCAAAAGATTCCTTTTAGTGCTTCGTTGTTAGAAGTTAGAAACGCATTCCCGCAAGATAAATCGTGATTTGATAGAACTGAAACGCGGTACGATCCGAAACCTTGCCAGCCAGTAGCTCTCTGGCGAGCGGTAGATCTGCTCGGCGTACTTCGACCTTGCTCCTGCTTATCGCTTCGAATACGATAACTCCTTTAATCATAGTGTGCTGCTTCGATATTGAGTTGCACAATAGGATAAACTCGAAATTTGTTGCCCTGTTCCTCCGCGCAACTGCATGTCCGTTGCTTACGCGCGTTACGTGGTTCGCACATATAATTACTATGCCAAGCATGTGTGGGTTGCGCGATAAGCAGCGCTGGTGTCCTATTTGAGCAGCTGAAAGCCACTCAGAAAATGTCCAGGACACTATCTTCAGAAACATATAGTACTTTCGTTTTGGTTCTCATTAAGGCTCACAAATTTTCAAGTTTTCGCATCTGTTACACTGTTATCCCATCTACCTGAGGTCCCTAACCACTCATGTTCATCTGTGCTGCTAAGCACAATTGAAATTGCTCCCGTGCTTGTCTAAGACACAAGCTGAAGTGCAATGAAAACTGATCTGGGCTGCTCCTAGCCCGCTCCAGAATGAAGTTTTAGCTGCTCCCAACCTGCTCCAAAACAGCTGTTTCAGCTGCTCCCTTGGCTGCTCCCAAGTACATTTCATGAGTACCACCCCTGAAAAAGTAGTTCTTTCAGATTCTGTCCGATCGGCAAGACGTGACTGTCGTCGGCACAGTAGTGCTACATGTGTTATTTGAGATATTTCTCAAATAAATCCTTTTCGGATAACAGTGTGCCATGTGTGGTATGTACAGTTGTATGTTCTAGTCCTGTCCATCGGTAACAGATTATTTGTGTGCGTAAAATATGTGTGCCTTTCAGCTATCTTTTGTTGTAAATTATTTTCGACCGCTAAGTGCTTTGTCATTTGACACGCAGCTGAGCGGGTGGTGCAAAACTTCTCGTAAAATATAGCAAACATTCCAGTCGCATTTATTTCGTTGCGTGCATACCCGACGAAAATTTTTTTACAATCGACTTCTTCCAAAATTTGAAATGCCATGCAGTGCACACTGGGAACTAGTAAGTCACTCAGTTTCAGTTTCGATTGAACAGCTTCAGTTCATGCTATCACGCCGGGATTGAATGCGCAGCTTGAATTTTGATTATCTGACTTCCCACGAATGTACAATACTCTCATTCTTAAGCAATATAGAAGGAAGACCAGGGCACTTTTCTTGGTTTCTGGCATGCAGGACATTGTGCGTGCACATGCTAACGTAGTAAGACGTGGCTTACCATAGAATACCGCGCATCCACCCATACCACACTAAGTGCCCATACCCAAATTTATAAGGTCTGAGAAAATATGCACAGTACATTGATATGTAAAATTGATGACCGGACAAGTGCCCATCCCCCATTTTTTCGCGATTATCTCTAAATTTTGAGTGGGCGCTTGCCCGGTATTTTACGGTGGTCACCTCACCTCATGATTTTATCTGTGAGCTTAATTTTAATAACCCTGTCTAGTAGCAATGAACCACAATTCATATTCGGTCACTTTGAGCCCTACACATGTTTTGTTTGCCAAATGTCCGCGTCTTGTTGTTTTTTTGGGTGAAAAACAAGCCACATCCCCACAGGGCACCCACAGTTGAGCCTAATGCATGAATGAACTTTTAAGGGAATGCAATTAATTTGCCGTCACTACTGATCAAAAGTTACTATGAAGTCTTCCTTGTGGCATCATATATCTCCCACTCAAGTTCTATGATAACTGGAGATTAAGTTTTCCCAAACGCTGAAATTGACTACAATGGAAGCCCTAACAAGTGTCCCCTGCTCCTAGCTAACCCTTTTTGGAAGAGTCTTTACTGGCATCCAAGGTGTGTGTCTTAATGGTGGGTCTGAAATTATCTTGGCACACTCAGACCGGAAGCAAGCAATAACATAACTAATCTTATGGCCATTAGCAACCATCAAATGCACTTGGAATCATCTAGTTCGCTTGGCGCACCATCAAGGGGTTCCCGCCCGTATACTTGCTGTGCGGCGAACGGTGCTACAATCTTTACGCAAGTGTTCAGCTGTTACTTTCTTAAACATTTTGTATGTGTGAATGTGCCTATCTGATTGCAGGTTAACTTCATGCACATACGCAGTATTGTATTTGTAGAATGCAAGTGGTTGGGTACTTCACTTCGTGCAGTGCTGCAGGCCAGTACAGCTTTAGAGAGAAGTGTGTTCGATTTTAGCCTTTCAATGACATCTCCAAGTTTTATCTCGCGTTCTCAGGCGTGTTAAGATAAACAGTAATTGAAAAAGGTAATTCTGTCAATAGACTCAACAAAACAAGTAACTAGCTTACAAGTAACACAAATGTAAATGTGCAAGCTCTGTGTATGCATATTTATTGGTTGATACAGCGTGTTGACTCGTACACAAGCAAAATCCCCGAGCTTTGCAGCAACGAGATTCCCGGCACCGGCTTGTCTTCATACCTTGAAACTCCAACAGAAAGGCTCGAGTACAAAAATACAACAAGACAAACTTTACGTATGGTTCGGGCTTGTGATGAAGCTTCGAGGCCTGGCCATTTAGGTTAATTTGGAGACCAGAAACAATTCATTCAGGACAAGAAAACATGAGATAAGAGCTGTTTATAGTTCATGGTCTGTGTAGGATTTCTTGTCGACTTGTCGATCATAGCCGAAGCCATGCCACTCTCCTTCCTGGCCAACTACTTCCCAGGGAGCAATGTGTGCATTGTTGCATGCAGGAATTTATGGGGGTTGTCTATTTTTGTTTTGTTTGTTTCAAATGTGGTACAATGCTTTCTCAATGTCCTCTGGAAAATACACACACACCATGAAACACAAAAAACAGCAAGGCCAGCAGTGCCCACCGGATATCACCGGACTCAGTTAGTGTTAGCAGGGACGCCGGTGAAAGACTAGCCTTAAACCCGGTGACTGGGTTCGAAAAGGGTTCTCTTGTCCTTGAGGCCAAGTGTTTCTTGGAAAGGTGCATCGATACTTGACCACTTTTCGTGCCCACCGGATATCACCCATTTCAGTTAACCTTTCTTCAGATTTCAATTTACTAATTTCTTCTTTGCTCTCCAAGCATGACTAGCCCCAAATAATGGCGGTTTCCAGTGTTGCTTTATGGTTTAATGAAATCTGTCTATTAGCTGTTTGTTTGAGCACCTGCATTGTATCTGACCCTTTAGTCGTTCAAAACTATATTCTGAATACTTCACCAGTATCCTGAAAAATGACAAATTAAAACATTACCGTCTTTATGATGACCTGTTTATCAGGCTGGTGTGAGTCATGCATTTTTGGATTCTTTCAAATTCCTAGTCTCAGTTACCTACTTGCTCCTTTGCAATTGGCTTGCAGTCTTTCGCAGTGGCTATGGGCTGAATTATATGCGAAAGGTGTAATGCTCGAATGTGACAAAAAGGCGTTATGCGCAGGCCAAGGCAGCATAAAGGATACATAATCATCCAAAGCATCTTGAAGGCATTATTAGTTACAAAATTTCAAACATAACCATAACGAGGAACAAATCATCAAAACCAGCGAGATTCACCAAGGAGCTCGGTGGGAATTGAACCCTGGACCGCAGGCCAGGGTTCAATGTCTTTGCTCAAAGCCACAAGGAGGACATAAAAGAGAGCACAAACAGATGGACTAGGTATTACTTGCCCCAGACATTAGCTTGGCATTAGCAAGGTACCATGCGACTGTCTGTGGCGAGTGATACTTAGTCCTGGATACTTAGTACACAGCTGATTGTAGGCAGTGAGTCATACTTAGTCCAGTATACTCTGTCCTCAGGTGACCGTCAGTGGCGAGTCATACTTTGTCCAGCGTGCTTAGTCCACAGACGACCGTCGGTGGCAAGTCATACTTATTCCACAGGCAAACGTTGGTGGCGAGTTACATTTAGTCCAACATACTTAGTCCATAGACAACCATTGGTGGTGGATCATACTTAGTCCAGCATGCTTACTCAGTGGACTACAGTTGGCGGCAAGTCATACATAGTCCAGCACACTTAGTCTGCAAGTGAGCACCGGTGGCAAGTCATACTTAGTCTTGCTTACTTGGTCTGCAGGCGACTATCAGCGCTTGCAGCTATAGTCGGGGACAGGTCAAGAACGAAGTGGAAGTTCCTCCCACCTCTTTCCACTTTAGTAGAGCGAACGCGGGAGAGGAGGTGACCTCCTCTCCATCGTTCACTTTGCTGAAGTGGAAAGGGTTGGGGGGAGCTTCCACTTCATTCTTGACCTGTCACCGACTATAGTTTCCAAATGACGAAGACTAGCTCCCTACGTAGGCTCCCAAAATCACGGGGGGCCACATAACGTACCAAGGGATAGTGCGGCGGGCATATGACGTCGCAACTTCAAACACTAGTCAGTAGAGGGCGTAAAGAACGCGATAAACCTCCTTCTTTAATGATTATTTCAGTTAGCACAGAAGGTATCTTACGATGCAAGAGCACTAAGAATTCAACGGCCCTCATGCACCCACGAAAAGAAAGGGTGGAGCCCGTGAAGAACTTCTTAAATCCTCGTGATGTGCTCCACTCCTGAATAAATTTAAACTTGTGTATATCGTTCTGATATACCCAGAGAACACAAGAGTATTGTGTGTGCATCCGCATCCAAGCATAGCAAATCGTAACGCATGCACAACACATGCACGACACAGTCTGCTCTCCGGGGTTTGTCAGCATGATCAAGAAGTTGTTTTTTTTTAATTTTATGAGGACAATTGGAATACTATTTGCATACTTACTACAGTTCCTTTTTGCTCACTGCTAGGTTGAGGGCGTGTATGACAGCGACATCAAGATTTTGAGGGGCCACAAGTTGTCAGTGACCTGCGTGACCATTTCCCACGACGAAAAGCACATCTTTAGTGGCTCCAAGGACTGCTCCATCATCAAGTGTAAGTACTGCAGATTTTTGAATTGGACATGGAGCTTGTAGTCTAGCTAAAGGCCCCTGTGGAGTGCCCTATGGGATGTCACTTTTAAGACCATTCACAGTCATAAACTTTGCTGAAACTCCCGACTTGGCAGAGCCAGCGGATGCTGGATCCCATACCTAAAACATTGTGACCCGAATCGTGCCTTGGCCGCACTGTATGATCTGAAAAGCTAGCTATCGTCCTCTCATGACTGAGTCGCAGTTGTGGACAACAGACCATCTTGGAAATATGCAGTGCCCCTACCATCTTTGTGACACATTACATCATTCCTGTGCATGGTGTGGCATGTTTAGGGATACCCATGAAAAGGAGCAGTTCATGTTGGTCTTGTGGGTTTTTTTGGAAAGGTCTGTTGGCCACGTTGCTTCCTCTCAAGCGATCCAGTGCCCTGTATAAAGAGAGTGTTCTGCCACTGTCCGAAAGTTGTTCTACATTAAATTTTGTTTCTTCCTACCCTGTGGTTTTCCCAGTGCAACAGCAGGAATAGCTGCACCACCATGGTGTCGAGTAGTCGCGTCCTTCTTAATAATGCATGGCGCATGTTTGGGTTACGGGCAGGGTGCACCAGGACGGGAGCCAAACTTCACCAGGTGCCCGGTGCCAAGAAAGCTGCCACATCGGATCAGGAGATACCGTTGGCACATACCGGTCATGTGCTGGCACTGGCAGTTTCCTCGGATGGTTCTTTCCTGGTGAGTGCTTGGAGCTCAAGTGCAGTGCGGTGATATTTGTCAAGGCTAGAAAGTGCACAAAATGAAGAACGGTTGTCGATGAGAAGCCCCTCGAAGCCGAGAGGGTTGAGAAGGGAACGCGATTTTTAACCAACTCGCAACTTGCTTGGGAGCTTAAGGTGCAATTGGCATTCTTTTGTTTTTGCTGGTCCAAACTATGCTTGATTGTTTAGCACACATTGTTTAATTATCTCATTTTATTTTGATGCTAGTGTTAATTTGTTTTAGAAGTAGATCTCCTTTGTAGCAAACAAAAAATGACATGGAATTTAAATACACTTATAGTATTGGTGGTAGTTTACTCAAGCGGTCAATCCGAGCTAGACGCACAGCAGTTTGTGGCATCTGTTGCTCTCCCTCTCGGAAAGGGTAACAAAAAACATTTCTCAGTATTGTGGTTACTCATAAGGTCAAGACCCGTAGCAATGTTTCGCTTGACAAGCTGTGAATGTTCCAGGCTATCCGTGTCGTTCTTTTGGACTCCTCTGCTGATGCCGGTATCCGTTGCAGGCATCAGGCTGCCAGAACAAGGTGGTCTTCATCTGGGACCCAGCAACCATGAACCGCCTTCATACCTTCCAAGGCCACAGAGGTTCCGTCACGGTAAGGGGACATTTTGTTTTCATTCTTTCTCGAGTATGACGTTAAATGACGTTGTAAGGGCAGAAGCATGCATGTTTTTTTACCTTTTAGATTGTATGCTTTACTTCTCGTAAGTGCATGCCAGCAGCATACTCATTCAAGTATTAACTCCCTTCTTTTTATGTTGTGAGGAGGGGGGCAGCAGGACTTTGCATCCATATTCAATTTCAGCTTAATTGTTTGTTTGTAGGTGTTGTGGGTGTCGAGCCACGCATTGAAAAAAAGCTTTATTCGACGATCATCCTTTTTATTCACAATAAACGGTGCTTGGGGGCTTCACATTTAGAAAGATGAAGCCACCTACAATGTTCAACAAGGAACAAATGATTCATACAGTTGAACCTCGATTTAACGAAGTTACCGGGACCCGCTAATTACTTCGTTAAGTCGGGAACTTTGTAAAATCGAGGAAGGGAGACCTCGCGCGTAGGCTGTACAGGGAATGCAAATTTTTTCGTTAAATTGGGGATATTTGTAAAATTGGGTTTCGTTAAATCGGGGTTCAACTGTATGTTGAAATTGGAGTGCTTTGTGTTGTGCCTTGCTGGAGCTTATAAAGGCCCGTTCACACTCTTGCGACCTCTTAAACCTAGGTTCCTTAAAGCTTCTTAAACCAGAGAACACACTGGCGCCATCTATTGGGAAGCAATGTAAACTCGGCGGTCCGGCATATTTTTTTTATTTCTCGCGCATTATCCTTTCTCTCTTGGCTCGAAAAACTTTTGTCAATGTTATAAACGAGCCTTTCTATGGTTATTACGCACATTTGACCTCAGAAATCCCGCAAAACCTTCGCTCTTGTGAAATGCAGTTCCAGGGTCACCGCATAGATGGCACCACAATACCAGTGTGTTCCCTCATTCTAAAAACATTTAAGAAGTTTTAAGAGATCCTCGTCTCTCTCAGTCGTACTCGGTCGCAAGAGTGTGAACGGGCCTTAAGCAACAAGGTTGAAGCAGCAAGAATGAGGCCTATGCTTTGAGCCTGCCTGATGTGAATGTGCTCTCATGCAGTAGAAGCATTGTTGAAGTAAGCATTTCTTAAGGCCCGTTCACACACTTGCGACCTCTTACAACCGGGTGCCTTGGAGCTTCTTAATATCTCCTACAATGAGAGGACACACTGGTGCCATCTATTGGGTAGCAGTGTAAACTTAGCGGTCTGGCATGTTTTCTATTTCTCTCGCGCATTATCCTTTCTTTCTTGGCTCGAAAAACTTTTGCCAACATTATAAACAAGCGTTTCTTATGGGTATTACGCACGTTCGACCTCAGAAATCCCGCAAAACCTTCGCTCTTGTGAAATGCAGTTCCAGGGTCACCACATAGATGGTGCCAGCATGCCAGTCTGTTCTCTCATACTAAGAAATTTTAAGAGGTTTCAACAGGTCTCGTCTCTCTCGGTTGTACTCGGTTGCAAGAGTGTGGACAGGCCTTTACACCTCAAGACGAGCACCAAGAACATGAAAACATATAAGCAGGAGGCACCACAGTATGGTATAAGGAGTTTTAATTCTTGCTAATCTAAAAAAATGTATCAAAACTTCATTTTTTTTTTAAATAAAACTTAAGTTTGATGTAGCACTTTATGTTGTCCTATCTCTGACCATTCTCATGTTCTTCACACTTATAATTTTGTAGCTGTATACTATTAGAAACTAACCATTTTATTGCTCTCATTGTTGTTCCAGCTGCTAAGATGAACCATAGTTAATTGTGCTAGTTATTAAGTTCATGCAAATGGTAAAAGATGACAGTCTGTATCTCTTTACACTCATTGCAGGGACTGGCGTTTCGTCTGGGATCCCACCAGCTGTTCAGCTGCTCAACTGACCGTTCGGTGAAGATCTGGAACTTGGATGAGATGGCCTACGTCGAGACCCTGTGAGGTTCATTCTTTAATTCCCCAGAAGGCTCTTCCTTTGTTAGCAAGGCTGATGCTCCATTAAGAAGCTTGCGACAGGAATCTCGATAGTCTTTTAGAAGAAATGTATGCTCTCTATCCTTGTCATGGTACTAGGCAAGCATTTTAGAGCGCAGCTCTTAGGTGCCCGTTCCTGGCTTGAGCGGCGTTGCCGTCGGCGTAACTGCGCATTGCATGCAACCCAGCATTGCATGTGCCTTGCATGCAACTCGCGCATTGCATGCGAGGCGCATGCAATGCCCGTGCAAAGAGTGCATGCAACGCGTTGCATGCAAGTGGCGTAACCGTGCTTTGTTTGCAACCCGAGCGTTGCATGCAATTTGTGTGTTTCGTGCAATTATCACATTGCATGCAAAGCTTGCATGCAATGCGTTTCATGCAAGCGACGTAACCGCACGTTGCATTATAGGTAGTTCCCATAATGACATCACGAGGGTTACCCTCGTAAGGGTTATGAGGGTTACTCTCACGAGGGTTACCATCGCAAGGATCACGAGGGTCACGAGCGTTACCCTCACGAAGGTTGCGAGGGTTAGTTACCCTCAAAAGGGTTACCCTCATGAGGATCACGAGGGTTACTCTCACGAGGGTTACCCTCACCAGGGTTATGAGTTACCCTCACGTAACCCCCCCCTGAGGTCACGTGGCCTCAGGGAATCACCTATCCCCTCAGTACCCTTCCATCCTCCTTTTCAAGAGCTGCGCTCTAGTCCGGCTTTACGGGGAGTTGTAGACAGCTTTCACTTTTTTTGGTCTACACCCCCAACCCCCCCAGGTTTGGACATCAGGACGCGGTGACGGGTATCGACAGCTACACTCGAGAGCGAGCCGTCACTTCTGGGGGTCGTGACAACACGCTGCGCATCTGGAAGGTCGTCGAAGAGTCACAGTTGGTGTATCAGAGCCACAGGTGTGTATATTTGCTCTTTCTCGCGTGATTTGAAACGTGGTGGCACAAGTGTGCAAATAGCCCCCAATCACTTCCGGCTCTGAACTAGACAACGGGTTCCGCAGTATTTGCAAAGTCAAGTATACACGCTATCTTCTGGAAATGGCCACTTATAGCACTGTCAGACTTAATTTATTCTTATTATAAAAGAATGAGGAGTAAAAAATAGGAAATGTATGTGAACCGGAAGTGTGCCAGGGCTACCCAGTAGGTGGCACCACTGAGTTTGCTGCCAAACAAAAAAGGAGCGAAGACTGCTTGCGAGATGTTTCTGTTGTGGCATGATGGCTAGAATGTGTCTTCTAGTGGTGCGTCTTGCATACTATAGGGCAGTTCCACGCGGATTTTTCTGGCTCATCACTTTGCTAGGATCTGTGCTAGTAACCCTTTGCCAACACGCAAGGGAAATGTATTTCAGCTTGCTCAAGCTCTTTTGCATTGTGATTAATTGCATCAGCTGGAGAGGTCAGCGACGTAAAGTAATGTTGGCTGCTACTATATTCTTTTACGAACCAACTTTTATTCGGAGCTGAGGCGAGCTGGCACTCGAGCAGTCAGCTCGTCTGCCAGCAGATAGGCCCCAGATGACGCCGGCACGATTCGAAACACAAGAAATTGAAGTTAATAGGGGTTTGTGTGACCCCAAATAGGTCCCCCATCGTGCTCCTTGAGTTCTGCCGTCGACGGGGCCACTTGCCATACTTCCGCATTACATGAAAACAAATAAGGCAAATGGTGGAAAAAGTTTCCCAGTATTTTTGGACCTGTGTATCGTTAGTGAAATTGCCCTAATACTGCTGGTCAGTCATGGAAGCGATAGCATTCTTGACCAGAAACTCTGGTCGTGATTGTCTGCCGAAATCTTTGTCAACTGGCCAGCTGGCAGGCGGGTGGTAGAGAAGACCTGTAGTCCTCACCTCTTTTCTGCTGCCAAACCTGTCGGTTGTTCTAGAAAGCAGCGTCCGCCAGTGTTGCAACAATCTGGAATGTTACCGCGTTAAATGTGATCGAATAGAAAATGGGCATTGTAAGCACATCAGTCGGTTGCAGACGGTGTCTTTTGCACATGTTTTGTGCCTGTTTTTGGAGATACTACTTTTTCTTTTTATAATTTGTGGAGCTATCCTTGTTGCCATGGTAATGAACAAAAATTGACAGGAGGCATGTGTGTTCTCATTGTGGCCTTGCTGGTGCTCGTTCCTTTGAAAACTGCAATGCAGTGATTCTATGCTGCAGCATTAACCACACGGTATGCCAGTAACAGAATACTTATCTTGCTGGCATATGTCGAGCAGAAGTTGAGGTTTTGAAGTTTACCCAAAAGGCATATTTTAAAGCTCCTCAAGAATAAACTGGTTGTTGCTTTGGATTTATTTCAGCTGCTCTGTGGACTGTGTGAGCATGATCAACGAGCAACACTTCATTTCTGGTGCTGACGATGGGTGAGTGTCTCCCTCCACCTCTAGGACATTTTTCTAAGCCTGATCATGCAGTCATCTTCAAATCTTTTATGCTACTATTAGGGAATGTTGGGATTGCATTCAACCATATGTTGAGCATGCCTTTAATACAAAACTTTTGTAGGTACTGTATTGTACCATATTTTCTGGACTATAGTAGTTTCCGGACTATAGGGTGCATGGGTGCAGGCAAGCTAGTGAATATTAACCATGTTGAATTAACTTGAGTCTGAATAACAAGAGAAACATGAGACCGTAGAAAATAGACAGGACGACGTCTAAATTTTTAAACATTGCCCAGCCTATTTTTATTTTTTACAGCAGTGCTGTTAAGGGCTAGGTTCCCCAGGATTGTGTCCGTGTATGTCGACACAAGCCTACCTGAACAGCTACCGCCATCTATAAGCGAGGGCGGGAAGCACACAACCAGTATGGTTTCCGCCGTCGCTCGGAGATGGCGGCAACCTTTCCAGCTATATAATAGAAGAACGGATAGTTGGGCATGTTGGTGGGAATTCATCGTAGGAAAACAGCGCGAAAAACAGATGACGATGAAGAAGAAGCACACAGTGTATCGAGTACAGCTCCGCTGGTCTTCCTTCTTCACGAGAGTGGAAAGGCTGTTTGCACACTTTGCTACAGGCGGTTAGAACTTCGAAGTGTGAACGCATAGCACATGGAAACCATTGACGACGCTGCCACAGACTACGACCCCAACTCCGATAAGGTGCCTCCCGACTGATACCAACACCCAAAATGGCAAGCGGCGCAAATGATAACTAGTCGTGATGTCAGAGGTCCAGTTCGATCTTTGTTTTCTGCAGTGGGGGAGGGGCGGCGAAAGCAGTTGGCAGTTGTGACAGACAGACAATGTGAGCGCTGTCGGTTCGGCGCGCTCCTCCCCCTCAGAATAAAAGTGAGCCCGTCCTCGATTGCCTCGCGGTGGAGTCGAAGAAGCTTGTGGCAGAAGGCGTGATAGATTCGAAAATCCCTACTCGCGTCCTTTCTGTCGTGTTGTGTTCCTTTGACGTTTAATGTTTCTCTCCTTCCCCAGTCTGACAATAATTCAAACGCGTTTATAAGTTAAAAGTTTATGAGGCGCAGACTGTCTACAAGTGCGGGCTGTACGAGGATTAGTGTTTTCTAGATTCTTAATTATTATGAGACGTGACGGATTTCGAGAATTATAGAATCTGCTAGTGATAGTTTGCGTACGACACAAGCTTTTTTGTGGGCTAGTAAAGGAGGCATTTGTTAAGGGGGGACATGGCCTCGGAATTCAAAATTTTCAGAAAAAAATGTTTTTTTCAAATATGATATGTTTATGCTTAGTAACTTCCAAAGAATGGTTTCAGAAACTTTCATTTATAAACATGCAGGATTTATCTCAGAATAAATTATTTTCAACATGTCGGCAGCCCTCCGAGTCAGCAGGGAGCAAGTTTTTTGTGTTTTTTATTTAGAGCTGCTTCATACTCATTTAACCTAGCCAGAACATTTCACCCTCACTGGGAGTGCCATTTACTCTAGATTTAGCCCGTAGAAGCTTTCGAAGTTTACAAGTATCAGTGGCCAGGAGGACCCAATACATCGAAACAGAAAAAATTCTGAAAATTTGGTATGAGCAATTTTATTGGTTTAGACCTGAAACAGGGTTTACGATTGGTTCTTTTTGGTGACGTGATATTGTGTCGTCTTCAGTAACGCCCCTTTACAGTATCTCCCATATCAGATCCTATTACTGCTTTGCTGCTCTTTCTCAGTGTGATTTGCCTCTTAGTTCTTGCCAGTTTATCTGTCGGGGAATGCCTGCTACAAAAGTTAGCGAGCCTACAAACAACACAAACTGGTAGCTATTGCCAGGGGAACAGGGAAGCCTCAAAGAGGAAGGTTCTAACAATGCGCCTGGTGAATTTTGCCTACCTCGGACCCACAGAAAAGAAAGAAACCTAAAGTTGAAACTTTAAATGCATTTTTCTCAGTTTCACTTTTTGGCAGGAAATGTGGTGTGAGGAAATGTATCATTGGACGTTTTGAAAGTGTAAAGATTTCATTCAGTGCTGTCCTGGACTAAAATTTCGTGAGGAACAAGTTAAGGTACTCGTAATCTGAAAGAGCTAAATTCTTCATGACCAAAACTGAATATTTTAAAACTCAGAAATTTGTTAAAATCGTTTGTTCTTTTTGGCTGTTATTGTTTTTCTCTAGAATTGCATTTTCTACAATTAATTTTTGCCTTAACTTGCACTATGGGTATTCTACTTCACATTAAACCAAACATTTTGTGGATTGCAATTATTTTTTTTCTTAAATACATTTCCTAATAAAGCAACTTTTTTCTGGAGCTTGTTAAGCATAGTATGTTGCAGAGTTGGCCGATAAGACTGAAACTTTAGATGTCATCACTCCTAATGGGGTTCAATTCACCCTGAAAGTTTGAATCTATTTGAGACATTGGTTCAAAAGTTGACCCTCCCAGGCCATGTCCCCCCTTAAGGCGTGCTGCGTACGAGCATTGTTTACGTCCCAACAGGGTGCCAGGTGCACACTGCTCCCGGTGCAAATTATTCAAGGAAAATGTTTTTTTTTTATCAGAATTAATTTTTGTTGATCATACACTGTGCGGACTACATTCTGTAAAATATGCTACAACTTTGACTTCTTTTCGATGACTATACCGTGCCCGGCGTATTTCGTTTCAGGTCCCTGTGCCTGTGGACGGCAATGAAGAAGAAGCCGACCTGCACTGTTCACCAGGCCCACGGTGCTCGCGACGGGTCTCCGTTGTGGCTCACTGCTCTGGCTGCACTCCGCTGCACCGACCTAGTTGCCTCGGGTATGCGCATTGCCCGTAGCACTCTACAGACGTCCGGGTGCTCCTGCATTTGAATGCAGGTTTCTCTATGCGTGCGTATAAGGACTCCGGCGTAAATGCAATGGAACCTCATAGATACCTTCTTGGCGCACCGCGGTAAAGAAGCGTGTAATCTGGGAAAACATAATGGCTGGTAACGCTTTTGGGGGTCTAGATGTGACAGAAAGCAACTATTGCACAACAGTGAACTGCCTCTATTCAAATATAAGCGTGCAAGTGTGTTTCTTTTTTCCTGCCAATGCTTTTTATGGTTGGGGATCAACTAATATCTGCAACCAAAAAATGTCAACTTAAAAGAGTGCCAAAAATATTCAAAGCACATCGAGCCGGCCGAGATGTCTTCTGCTCCTAGCACGCTGGTGCGAAGCGGTGAAGCGTGATTTCAGTCTCCCATTGAGGGTATCAAAGGTCCATTTTTATGTTGTCGGAGCAAAAGCACAAAGATGCTGTAAGTAATTTAGAGGTACTATAGTCGGTTACAAGTCAAGAAGGTAGGAGAAGCTCCTCCGACAAGCGTGATGCGCCCGTTTAAAATCTTTCCGCAGTCGAAAGAAGAGTTCATTGCAAATGCTCCTTGTTCCGCTTCAATGGATAGATATTAGCTGCAGAGTGATGCCAACTTATCTCCGATCCCACTTTTTAAGAAAGCGACCTTTGTATTCATCGGAGGGGGAACCGAGCCCCTGAAAGCAGCCTTTCCCGGAAGTTGTATTTGTTTCCATCGGAGGAGGAAAACTCTAATCTCCCTCTCGTGGCTTCCACAATGCTAAGTCAAAGTTGAAAGATAAAGCAAATATGTACAGGAAGGCAAGACCCTCCTCGCGCGTTGGCCGCGACGTCATGGAAACGATGGGACGCTATTGGATGCGGAGGCGGCGGAGGGTTATATGATTCCCTTTGAGGAGCATTTGCTGCTACCTTCTCGACCTGTAACTTACTATAGCAGGGGTTCTCAAACTGGGTTTCGGGGTACACAAAGGTTCCACGAGCTGGTCTCATGGGTTCCGCAAACACCCAAATTGCAACCCCCCATGCCACAAGCTGCGCGGAGGACCATGCAAAGCACCTTCATCTCACTTTGTGCTGACATTGCGATTGATATGGTGGGGATATGTGGGAAGCAACACAAGCAAAATTGCCTACAATTGTGCATCTGTTGCTTCTCGGTCAACAAATATGGAGGGGGGAAGAAGAGAGAGAGGGGGGGGGGGGGGGGGGGGAGGAAGGAGGAGGAGGGTGTTCAGCGGACGTTTTTGAGGCTTCCTGGGGTTCCGTGAGGCCAAAAAGTTGAGAACCCCTGTACTATAGTATACTGCCTATCAAAGTTTATAGATGGACAGTACTACCTGTTGAGACAAATAGGTCAAACCCATGTAAATTGCAAAAATCAGTTTCATATGATGTGGCACTAATTCAATCTGTATGTGTGGCTAAGTGGTGCATCTGATTTGTGAAGATACGGTTTAAAAAATTGGGTAAGAAGGAAGGAAATTTTTGCTTTGCTCTTGTTGACTTGTTTTTCTAATTTATTGCCTTAATGACATTTTTTCTAATTTATTGCCTAATGATGTTTTTCTAATTTATTGCCTTAATGCATTAGCATTAGTACCTACATGACAGTGAAAAGCTGATGTCTGTCTGCAGACAAAACAGTGGAAAGAAAAGCGTGCCACATAGAGAGCAGGAGAGTAGTGAAGAACAAAGGCGAAAGGGAGCCAGCGTCATGGGGTGGAAGCCAATGAGTTTGCGGGAAACCGGTGAACTGCAAAAGCAGCGTCCGGCAGCGGATGCCATTGCTAAGCATGCAAGGCGAGCGAATTAGACGGAGGAGTGGAAGTAGTACCTAGCTCTACTGTCCGAAATGCGGCGCAAGAAGCGGCCAGCCGACGCAGGTCTGTGTGCGACAGAGGTTGGAGAAAAGTGGGCTCGGCGAGCCTGCTTCGCTGGAAAAAGTTTTAGGGAGGTCCATCAGTGGATTTGTAAGGAATGCGTCATCATGACACATGAAAAACACCACACATGTCCCCCTTTGGGAAATGCTAACACTGACCCCATAACGAAGCCAAAAAGAGGCAGCAAAAATTAGAGAAGCAATACAGAAAGCCAAAACAGAAAAGTGAAGGGGTCAACGTCAGCGTTTTCCAAGGGTCATGCTAACCCATTTCCTAAGAATCCACCAATGAATCTTCCTTTATTTGTTTTGTTTTTTTCACTTTGAGATTAAGAAAGCTGAAGAAATGTGGTGAATTGGGTCGGTTGGTATTGAGACGATATGATGACAAAACGCCGCACAAAGGACAGGACGACAGGAGAACTCGTAGGACACACGAGCTTGTGCATTCTATGTGTTTTTCTCCTGTTCTGTCCTTTGTGTGCTGGTTTTTCATCATGTTGAAAAGGCTAAACTCCATATCACACCTTAGGAAAACTTGTTTTTGTTTGTAACTTTTGAGTGAGACAAGTTTCTCCAATATTTTGACAAATCAGATGCCCCATCTAGCCGCAGACACTATACTCCGTGTCACTAGCTGCGTGCAGTACAGGCGAAGGCAACGCCAGGCGGGGGAAGAAAAGGCAAGCACTAGGAAGGTTGGGAAGGAGGAGAGAAACCTCCTCTCTAACGTTCCTAGTGCTCTCCCTTTCTCCCCTCGCCCTCCATTGCCCTCCTCTCCCGTCCCACCTTCCTAGTGCTCACCCTTTCTCTCTTCGCATGGCATTGCCCTTGACTGCATTGCAAACAACTAGTGACACGGAGCATAGAAGGTGGGGGGGGGGAGCATTTGTGTGATAGCTCGGTGTACCTGACTAAGTATTCCTCTTCTTTTTTTTTTCAGGATCTTCCAATGGAGAAGTGAAGTTGTGGAGTTGCGGTGATGACTGCAAGAGGCTGACTGAAGTCATCTCGATTCCTCTGGTACGAAAACCAATGGCGCAACTGCCTCACTACTGCAGCATCATTTTTTTTCTCTTGTCAACTTTAGAAAAGATTTTGTCTTTTCTGTTTTGCATAATCACCTCTTATGTGAGGGTTCTGATCCAGGTATATTTTGCTTATGCTAGTATATGGTGACTGAGGTGCTGCGAAATCTTTGTGCATGCTCATGACTGGCCATGTCTCTTAAAGACTGACGTGCAAAATATTTATCAACCAGGGTGAAAATCCTCTTTGCCACCCTTCCCATTTCCCCTCTCCCACTCTTAACTTGGTGGGGAGTCCTTTTTTTGTTGCGGCATCTTGGGACCGGATATGCCGGGAGCTTATTCTGTCTCATCCAACCCCAAGACCCGGCAAGAAAAGGGGTCCACCCCCCCCCCCCCCCCCCTCCCCTGCCATCAAGATAGCGGTGGGAGATGGGAAATCGGGAAGATTTTCATTGGTTGAAAAATATTTTGCAAGTTGGCCTTTAAATTCGAAGGGATCATGAAATTATTTGTTTTCCACTTTGGCTTTTGACTGTTTTCCACTAGTGCTCAGTGCTTCATGGTGTACTCAATTCACATTCGTAAGGCATGCCGCAGACATCAGCTTTCGTTCACAAGTGCTGGTTTCTACAAAAGGAGGAGAAATGGTTCTATGAGTGTGGGACCATCTTTGTGCTTCACTCGCACGAGGGTGCATGCAAATGGGATGCTTAACAAGACCATGTGCTCACCCCAGTAGCTTTAACAATGCTTTGTGCTATGTGTGAGACTAAGTACAGCACCTATTTTCCCCTATTATGCCCCTCATTGAAGCAAAAAAAAGGATTATCTTTTGGGGATCATACTTTGCTTTGTAGGGCTAGTCATAGGTTGGAATATGATGGGGCCAACCTTGAGTTTATTTAAACGGGAAAACGACAAAAACAAAAATGGTGTAGTCAACAGCTACTTCAATTGCTGCTTCGGTCCCTTATGCAAGCAGGCTCACTCGAGACAAGAGTCCCAGTGATGTCCTAAGAAAATGATAACACAGTGCAGAGAAGGGTCATCCGGTCTTCTGCTGCCAACTTTTAATTTCACAGTTCCTTTAAAAAAGCACAGCAAACTTCTTTCGACAAACGTCAGGCTTTAAGGCGTGTTTACACCGGCGATACAAAGCAGTCGTGCGATATGACCAGATAGCATCACAAAAAAAAATTGGACATTCACACTGCCGTGCACAATGAGCAAGCCCAACGCCTTCGTTGGCGCGTCGCCTCTCGAAAACTCCCGCTCCAAACACCGTTGATTGGCTCAGCTGCTCTGCGACTAGATCGCATTGCAAAAGGTCGGGTCAGGTAGCGACTGCTCAAATCGTGTTGCTTTTTTTCCGCGATGGTCGCTTTTGTGATGAAAGGTATCGCGCAGCTAGATTGCATCGCCAGTGTGAACGCGCCTTGAAAGACTATGCATCTCGCGAAAAAGTGGGGCCATGACGATACTAGTTTTACTACTTGCTTCATTGTGATCTTTTGTCTCCGACTAAATTTTAAGATGATTATGTTTGTCCAACAGGAGGGCTTTGTGAACGAGCTTGTGTTCAGCAACTCTGGACAACTGCTGGTTGCGGCGGTTGGTCAGGAGCACAGGCTGGGACGCTGGTGGAACCTGAGGAAAGCCAAGAACTGTGTCGCCATCCTACCTCTCAAGATTTCCGACCGACCAGTAGCAGCCCTGGCAGATGCCTCTGCTAAGCCTGTCCTCAAAGGAAAAGTGCGATGAGATACTGGTTAAAAATATAAATAAAAAAACTTTTTTGTAAGATGTTTTTTTATATATATATTATATTTTAATTTCTGGTGGGAAAGTCTCGCCCATTCTGTGTTCTGCATTTCACACTCCTTGAACTAAAAATTACTTCCATGACCATCCATTGATCTGGCTCGAAGTCCACTGAGCTATTCTGGTTGGCTCTTGTTTCATGAATTGTTTACATTCAAGCCAAGTCTATCGGGATTCTTGAGCTGTTGCAATTTACCAGGGGACCCTATTGGAGAGCCAGCCTAGCCTCGTTAAACTGGTGTTTGACAGTGAGAGGCACTAAAAACAATGTACTCCTTTGACTGCTTCGGATTAAGTTGCATCATGGCTGCCTTTTTTTTTTTTTTGGGGTGTCGTGAATTCGGATTGAGCCTACTTGTATCCGGGTGACCACCCGTCCCGCGACTCTCGGGAATGTCCCGCATTGAGGGCTCGTGTCCTGCGTCCTGCGAGAAATTCCTGAATCGTCCAAATGTCCTGCATTTGACACTGTCGTAAAATTCACTCCGCAACTCGTGGTGCTGCCGAACAACGGGACACGGGGAGGCACGGAGGTTGTTGGTAACCGCATGAATCGCAATGGTACACCATTTTCTATACAAGCATTGCGGGAAGCGACCATCGTTCATGAAGGAGAAATGACGTGCATGCGCCGTTGTAACTCTGCCCTTGGTGGCATAATATTGTAAGAGAAAATTGCTCGCCAAAAGTTTAAATTATTTTCAAATCGCTGTGTCAATGCAAAAGGGTAGCTGTCGAATTTTTTTTTTAGTGGAGACATTAATGTTTATACCACAGTAAAATTTAAAAAAAAAAAAATTTGGCTATTATTTAAGAGTGTGGGGAATGTGGCCACAGTTTAAGAATGTGGGCACTGAACTTTCTGAGGCCACAGTCCATAAATATTGTTAGATAAAAATCATTTTAGCTTAGAAATGGACAAGTGGGAAGCTCGGGAACAACCTTCACTAGTTCAGCTGCTTTTTATTTAAGCATGGTGCCTAGCGAAAGGTTTGGAGAAACTATTTGATATTCGATTAGAAAATATACGGCCAAAACCACTATTCGCTCCGAAGTCAAAATCCACTTCATATTTGCACATGCCTAGGATAGATAAACTCTAGTTGTCTAACTGGCTCGTCTGCTTCATTGTGCAATGCTATTACTGGACTACAGTGTTGCTTAATTAGATAATTGGAATCGCCAGGCCACTTGACGGGGAGGATTGATGTTGTAAGCATTCTGTTTCGGCACTCTCAAGCACCTTCTCGCAAAGTGCAAAGGATCAACCAGCACATAATCATTCGCTTTATAATTATTGTTTTCCAGTAAAAGTATGGTGTAAAACATTCACTTCAAGTGTGCTCTCGTAGATTTGATTATTCTAGGGACGAAGCCCAGTTGTTTTTATGTTCCTTTGCAACAACCATAAACTTGGCATCTGGATTTTAATTGATCTAGCTGGTGATGCTATTTTTTGTTTCTTCTAATTACACAGGTGTTTGTCTTTTTTTTAAAGGAAAATGTATTACTGTTGCATTGTGAGCCCGAGTTTGCAATAACAGGATGGTACTGGCGATCAGTTACATTTTTTCACATATTTGGCACATTTACTGTAGCACCGGTGTTAAGCAGGTGCACAAAATTAAATAATGAAAAAGCATTTCAAGCAACTAGTCGGGGCTCTTGGGAATTGCATTATCAAGGAAAGAGTAGACCTTTAAATGGACAAAAAAGGGGTCTGAACATGGACAGTACAGATGTACAAAGTGTCTCTTAAAAAAAAATAGGAATTCTTTTTTTGTTGCAAAAAATTAACTGTATGCACCACCAATTGCTGTCTCTGCCCAAAAGTGGCGCTAGCAGTCCGGACCATATGTCAAAGTGTCGGTGCTTGATGTTATTTGGTTCAAACGTCATAAAACAATTTTCGTAAATTTGCAATGGAAAAATGGCAGCCGACGATGCCCACGAACACGTGAAGCTGAATGGCATTGGCCGCCAAGAACGGGTCTCATTTTTCCATTTTAATTTTCAGAAAATCACTCGGGAGTGAGATAATGGTTAGTTCTGACCCATTTGGGTGGAATCTGAGCTTTTAACGTAGCATAGGTAGTTTTGGTAAAGAAAACACCATCAAATTATTTTGGGTGCGCAGTGTGGATTCATAGTCAATCACTCAAAGGGCTGCTTGCATGCCGTCCATTTAAGAAATTGCACAACCCTCTCGCAGCTCTTGACCACGTTGTCGATCACCAAGAGATCCGGGACCGACGCCAAGCAGGGAGGCTGCTGAGGTTAAATCCCGTCGTCTGGAGGGCCGTCTGCTTCGACCAGTCTGCCGACGTCTCCTCGCACCGAAGAGCCATAGACATGAAGTGGCGATAGAAGCAGATTGCAAGCCTTTCATCAACAACAGAAGTCGGCGTGGAAGTGGCAGCCTTCCGGCGATGGGGAAAAAACCGTGTTTTGTCGGGCATCACTGCGCAGCTTCTCGCACTTGCGAGACAAATGACGGCTGTGCCGCGAAACAAAGAATTTGGGAGCGGCCGGTTCGATGTTGCTGCAGCAGTCGTTCCCTCAAGCTCAATCGCAAGATTGCTTGTTTTTTTAAACTGTGCAGAGCTTGTTTCTTTGTAGTGTTATGCGCTTTGCAATAAATATTTATTGAGCTCTTATCATTCTAGTTACATCCCAATTTTACTGCGGCTACGACTTGGTATCGAGGGGCCAGGTGGCCCAATGGTGGCATCTAGCACAGACTACTGTAGGTAAGGACTACATGTTGATCAGACTGCATTCAAAGCTGAGCAATCTCTCTGGTAGCCATCGTGAATTTTTTATGGATGTATACCATATACACGGACATTGCAAGTAAAATGTGCCATTCAAAAGGAATTCTTGCAAGATCTCATGCGAATTACAAAGTGATCGGGTAAGGCGTTCCAAAGCACTTGATCCGACTTTTGAGCCTATGCCTCTTACCTCCATGTGATGGAATGATGCAAGCAGTGATGGAATTATTGTGCTGCCATGCTGGCCATATCATCATCTGCAAGTTCAGACAATGACATGGCCATGCTGGCCATGTCATCATCTGAACTTGCAGATGATGTCGATGATGTCAGAGCTCGAGAGGATGCTTAAGCTTCGATAGCTAAACATATAAACCCACTCATTCTCAAGCCATGCAAGCCTGCCTGCATGGCCTAGTGGCTAGCATGTCTGGCTCGCAACCTAGGTCATAGATTGGAATCCTGCCGCCGCCTAAAATTCTTTTTGAATTTTTTCTTTAAGGCAAATGTATTGCTTTATAGCAGGGGTTCTCAAACTGGGTTCTGGGGAACACAGGGGTTCCACGAGCTGGTCTCATGGGTTCCATGAACACCCAATTTGCAACCCCCCCCCCCCCCCTGCTGCAGGCTGCGCGGCAGGACCATGCAAAGCACCTTCATCTCATTTTGTACTGACATTGCAATTGATATGGTGGGGATATATGGGAAGCAACACAAGCAAAATTGCCTACAATTATGCATCTGTTGCTTCTCGGTGGGCAAATATGGAGGAAGTGGGGGGGGGGTTCCGCGGCAGTTTTTGAGGCTTCCTGTGGTTCCGCGAAGCCAAAACGTTTGAGAACCCCTGCTTTATAGAGTGAAATCATTTCAGACATGCAGTGACCTTGAATTTGCATTACACGTCACGTTTTAGTCACTTTCATTCCACGTGAGCATTTGAAATTCCCACGCGAGTTTGTGTGGCTGGGATGTTGACCCTATCGACCAATCAGGATTTTTCCATTCCACGCCAACGACACTTCTGCGACACAAGCTCCTTAAAGCTATCACTTTCAAATTAATAAAATGGTGGTATAGCGGTAGCTCTAAAACAGAACCAACGTCTCGTACTCCCGATGAGATCTCTCAATCATCATCTCCGCCACATGCCTCTACACCTTGACACAACCGCTGCTCCCATCAACCTTCACCACCTTGCACAGGCACGCATGCATCAAACTTCTCTGCATCGCATTGGTGCGTTGGGGGAAGTGACTTGTGCGGCCTAACACCTGTGGGTTAGCACGATGGGCTCAGAAATTACGCACTGTACTATTACAAATCACTTTTTTTTCTTGATTGTAGGTTGACTTAATTTCAAAGAACAGTGCCAACAAAAAAAAGGAAACAAGAAATGCACTTATATTTGAACAAGTAAACAAGGTAGTTTCCATTGAGCAGTTTACTCTAGCCTGGGGTCAGCCAGTACGATGATCATCCAGATGGAAATGGGCGGGGTGGGGATGGAACCGAAGTTCCCTGGATTCTGCAGTAAGAGGTTTTTCTCCACGTGCTCCAAGCTGGTGTGCACTAGCCCACTCTGCCACCGATCCCTTCCACATATGTTTATTGATTTTACTATGCACATAAAAGAGGGAGTGGGAGAAGCGTGAAGTATTTTGCTATAATTTATTTTCAATCTTTATTTTTCTTAATTTCTATTGTAAACAGAACCTACTTTGACCCGAGCATTCTAAAATACAGTTGTGTGTCATGTGCTTTTCATGACTATTTGTATAATTACAAAAGGTAGCAAGTAAAACATTTGTATATCAAAGCTGAACCCTGCATTATTATTGAAGATTGGCCCTTTTAACAGTGCAATTATTTAATTTTAAAGTGATGTGCTAACACACATTAGGATTTGCTCCAAAAAAAACACATGACTGCTCCAAGCAAAATGTTGCTTCCATCACCATACAAGCCTTTTAACCCCAATGCACAAGTTCTCAAACCTCTACCTAGGAGCCCAGAGGCTTCGCATTCCCGAAGTTCTCAAATTTCCTCAGTCAATCCAGCCTTTGATGTTGCTGGCATCCCCAAAAACACCATAATGGTTTTGACATTGGTGCACAAAAGTTGTTTCCATAAAACAGATAAAAAATAAACCTAACGTGCAAAGACATAAAACGCACAAGTAGCACATCAAGAGCCAGAGTTGTAATAAATCATTACAGGTACATTCCGGTATTTAGAGAGAGAAATAAGTATTCTGGTTTAATAAGCAATAAAACCAGAGGAGAATCCAATGCTTTACAAGTGATTTAGGAATATGGCTACACTTGTTACATGCTTTTATGAAATTGAAACAGCATGCACACCAACATTAAATATATGCATTGATCACCACATGCACGATGCAGCATTGGAAGCGTTCAAGCCAGAACTTGGCAGAGTTTGGGATAACTGGTGGTGAACTAAACCCTAAGGGGGCCTCAGACTCCAGCAATATGCCTCTAGTACCAACAAACCTCTGAATTACATGAAAAAAAAAAAAAGTAACACTTCTTGGGACAAGGATCATGTGATGGGCTAGTTGGTTATACATTACAAATTTAAAAGTAGCGCTAAAGACAAGGACAAGTAGAAGACACGGACACGGACAGGCGCCGACTCATAACTGATACTTAGTGAAGAGTAAAAGGAAGATAAAACAGAAGTGCAAGGACATATATATACAAAATGAAAAAGAAGACTAAACAAAATGAAAGAAAGCAACAATTATTTTTGACTTCAAAATTAGAAAATAAGAAAAAAAGTATGGTAAAAATTAAAATCTTGGGACAGTTTTTTGTGTAGTCACCTACTTGTACTGGGCAATTGCAGAGCAAGGCAGTGAGCTTTCACAACGATAAAAACTTACATTATGCCTAGTAAAACGTTAATACTCACACCATGCAACCTTTGTGTTGTTAAATATCTATTAATGCACTGCATTCTGTTCAGAAGGCAGACTCAGCAATGCGGACATGCTTAAAAAAATTACAAGTTTCAGAACTGTTGGCGTAGAGCACTCCACCAGAAGGCACTCCACGAATCCATCGTCGCATGCTGCAATACAACACTAGTGGCTTGCTCTGGCCATAGCTTTCAGATTGTGAAGTTTCACTGAACCAAAGCAAGCAAAGATACAGCCAAAGGTAGTCTTGAGAGCAAGGAAAAATTTCGCTTTTGTATCTTACTGCCCTTGATAAGCACGAAACAAGAGTGAATTTCCCCATTGCTCTCAAAACCTCCTCAATGGGCCAGTGCCAACCAAGGTGGCACTGCCACATAGGAGCGAGCCCGCTCAGGCGAAGCGTGCCAGGAGACTCGACTTGTTTTAGAAAGACTACATAAATGACGAACACTAAGACTTTTCATTAAAAAAAATACAAAGCAAAAAAAAAAAAAAGGTGCGGACACGGTTGTTACAGATTAGATGCACCCTCCGCATCTTTGGAGGGTTCTTCGTCCTCGGGAAAGAACACCTTCTCGGCCATTTTGAGCATGGCCTGGTGTCTCGCAAAGACTCGCTGGGAGTTCAGTCTTGTCTCGGCCACTTTGTCCGCCAAGGACTGCCGAACCTTTTTCGCTTCGTCCTGGACTTGACGGATTTCAGCATCCAAGCCTGCCACCTGAGCAGAGATCGGACAGTGTAAAACACAGCATGCAAGGAGACAAACACGGCATGTCCCCCTAAAAAATTTACAGGGTTTGTTTTTTTTTCACCCGGGAAATAAACTGTGCATCGCCGAACACTCAGACTTTGCCCAACTGTAGCGCTAGTGGTCCGAACGATTTAGTTGGCAGTCACCTCGTTTCTACTTGTTTTCTCTCTGTTACTGCTTCACAGCGCACAAGATCAGCAGCGTGAGTGTTCTTCCTGTGTATGCGTGAAATTACTTTTAATTTTAAGTGTGTCTGATCTTGTGCGCTGTGAAGCAGTATCATGAATCACCAACTCGCCCAAGTTGAAGTTCTGTCCAATTCTCTCTCTGTATTTCGGGTGCGCGGAGGAGATGTGGATTGGCTTCGCGACCGAAATAGTCATTCCGGAATGACCGGAGACATCGTGAACTTCGCGTGCAGAATTTCAAATAAACCTCTCGCCGTCAATATTGCTCTAAAAATTATTTTTTTCGCTCAAAATTTATTTTTTGACACGCAAGTCTCAACCAGATTGTTTAAAAAAAAAAAAAAAAAGTTTCTTTTCAGGGTTTTTTTAAGTGGAAAAAAAGGGCCCTTTCTTGGGAAATGACGGCGTTCATCCCCACATAGCTGCCATTTACCCACTGCCAATTTCAGAAAATTGCTTACAACCATTAAAAAAGATAGTTCTGGAGCTCTGGCGCCTGGGTCCGGACTGCTAGTGCCATATTTGGGCAAAGGCCGAAAACGGCAATATGTTTGTTTTTGTGGCGAAAAATATTCCGTAAATTATTTTTGAGGCGTCCCATGCACAAGCAGAGGGACACCGTGCAACAGAAACCTTTATGCTGTCCGATCACAGTCGTACCAAGGCAGCAAACATTAGGATGTGCACGAAACGAGACGCGGGTTTCTCCAGTGCAAACCGACACGAAGGGGCATTGCATTCATCTGATTTCGCCTAAAATTGGTAATATAGGATTTGGGGGCCCGCAGAAGAAGATGCCCAAATATGGCAAAGCAACCTGCACACTCGTGCGAATTTCGTAGGAAGAGTGAAAAATGCACCCTTTGCAGTTCACAACCAGAATGGAACATCCAAGAGCAAACTGCCGTATGTTGCATGGTACCAAGTGCAAGCAGCCTTTGTTGCGCAGGATACAGCAGAGGTTTTCTCTTCGGCTCTCAACTTGACAAAGAGGAAACGTGTCACA